TTGTAGTTAACAATGTATTTGGCTGGGAAAAAAGTAACGTAGTTTTAATATATAAGAGTGTTCGGTGGTGTCATTCGCCACATGACGAGGACACAGCAAAAGTGAACCGCTGGTGTTTGTTGCAATACGTGAGGGCTACTAAAAATGTGTGTGAAGGTCGGGGTAGCCATTGGCAATATGGCTGGCCACTAGGGAAGCAGCGACCCCTCGTTTACCTATGCTGGGCTCGATACTACGAGTGGAAAGTGAGAATCTTACTTGGAATAGAGAGGGGGTAGCACTGAGAGATTATGAATGTTTTAAACATTTAAAAACATTTGTAATCCATTTATAAGGTAATCTGCTTATACTCTGTATAACAATATTCTAAACTCGCAAGAGAGGAAGACGCAGGAACAATTACAGAAATCGTAAAAAATATTGTTGGTACAGTAGATTACCTGAACGTGCTGATACATTTGAGATCAAGTAGGATTTTTAGACTGTTACGTTTTGATTATTATTAGTAGTAATAGCGGTAGTAGTAGTTGCTGTTGTGGTAATAGTAACAGTAGTAGTAATAGTAATAGCAGCAGTAATAGTAGTAGTAATAGTAATAGCAGTAGTAATAGTAACAGTAGTAATAGCAACAGTAGTAATAACATTAGTTGTTGTTTTTGTTGTAATAGTAGTATTAGTAGTAGTAATAATAGTGGTGGTGGCGGTAGTAGTAGTAGTAAAAATATTGATATATTTATTTGGAAATATACACATCAGCACTATTATCCATGTTTCTTCCTCTCTCTTATTTACTGCCTATCATCACCAGGTGTTCCTAACACTGCCATTGTTATTTACACGTATATGCACTCTCTGCAGGATACCTTTACCAGCATTTAATCTCTGTATTTCAGGTGGTCAAACAACATTTTTCGGTTTCCTGAACTGTTTCGTACACGTGGTGATGTACTCTTACTACCTGCTGGCTGCCATGGGTCCTCGAGTCCGCCCTTACCTCTGGTGGAAGAAGTACCTAACTACCCTCCAGATGGTGCAGTTCATCATGATGTTTGTTCACGCAGCTTTGGTAAGTAGTAATATACACTCACATTCACCTGACCTTCACAAGACATTCTTCTGACCTTCACAAGATTTTCACCTGACCTTCACAAGATTTTTACCTGACCTTCACAAGATTTTCACCTAACCTTCACAGGACATTCACCTGACCTTCACAAGACATTCACCTGACCTTCACAAGACATTCACCTAACCTTCACAAGACATTCATCTGACCTCCACAAGACAATCATCTGACCTTCACAAGACATTAACAAGACAATCATCTGACCTTCACAAGACATTAACAAGACAATCATCTGACCTTCACAAGACATTAACAAGACAATTACCTGACCTTCACAAGACATTAACAAGACAATCATCTGACCCCTTTACAAGACATTAACAAGACAATCATCTGACCTTCACAAGACATTAACAAGACAATCACCTGACCTTCACAAGACATTAACAAGACAATCATCTGACCTTCACAAGACATTAACAAGACAATCATCTGACCTTCACAAGACATTAACAAGACAATCATCTGACCTTCACAAGTCATTAACAAGACAATCACCTGACCTTCACAAGACATTAACAAAACAATCACCTGACCTTCACAAGACATTAACAAAACAATCACCTGACCTTCACAAGACATTAACAAGACAATCACCTGACCTTCAATAGACAAGAAGCATTCAGAAACATTCTCATGGCATGCTTATGTGCTTGGTTACAGTACATTCTTTTTCACAAGAGATATTCTTGCAAACTTGGTGAGGAGTCTGACAGTGATTAGCAGACGGTGGGCTGAGCCTCCACAATTCCTTGCCCTGAATAAGAATTTAGCCTCTTACATGAAGTAAAATAAATAAAGAAGAGATCTTGGTGTGCAACATACTCATCAGTACTAGTATATCCATTTATGCATATGAATATTGTATATATAATCACATATATAAGAACATAAGAAACATAAGAAAGAAGGAACATTGCAGCAGGCCTACTGGCCCATGCGAGGCAGGTCCAAGTCTCTTACCGACTTAAGCCAATGCCCCAACCTAGTCAGGGCAGGTCACATTCACTTAAGGAAGGAACACGACAACTGACCTAGTAGCACAAGCTAGTCAGGTCCAACTCACACCCACTCATGTATTTATCTAACCTATTTTTAAAATTACAAAACGTTTTAGCCTCAATAACTGTACTTGGGAGTTTGTTCCACTCATCCACAACTCTATTACCAAACCAGTGCTTTCCTATATCCTTCCTGAATCTGAATTTTTCCAATTTAAAACCATTGCTACGAGTTCTGTCTAGGCTAGATATTTTCAGCACGTTATTTACATTCCCTTTATTTATTCCTGTCTTCCATTTATACACCTAAATCATATCCCCCCTAATTCTACGCCTTTCTAGAGAGTGTATATTCAGGGCCCTCAGTCTATCCTCATAGGGAAGATTTCTGATACATGGGATTAACTTTGTCATCCTCCTTTGTATGTTTTCCAGAGAATTTATATCCATTCTATAATACGGTGACCAGAACTGTGCAGCATAATCTAAATGAGGTCTAATCAAGGATGTATAGAGTTGAAGAACAACCTGAGGACTCCTATTATTTATGCTTCTTGATATGAAGCCAAGGATTCTGTTAGCTTTATTGCGGACACTTATGCACTGTTGTCTTGGTTTCAGATTACTGCTAACCAGGACTCCTAAATCTTTTTCGCAATCCGTAATATTAAGATCGACATTTAGTTTATATGTGGCATGGTTATTTTCCTGTCCAACATTTAGAACTTTGCATTTGTCTATATTAAACTGCATCTGCCACTTCTCCGACCACTGCGCCACTTCTCCGACCACTGCATCAGTCTATTCAAATCTTCCTGGAGTGCTCAAATGTCCTCGTCAGAATGAATTCGACGGCCTATTTTTGTGTCATCGGCAAACTTGCTTATGTCGCTCTTTATGCCCTCATCAATGTCGTTTATGTAGATTGCGAACAACAGGGGGCCCAACACTGACCCCTGTGGAACACCGCTCGTGACGCTTCCCCACTCTGATTTCTCCCCATTTATGCAAACTCTCTGCTGCCTATTTGTCAACCATGCCTCTATCCAGGAAAAAATTTCTCCTCCTATTCCATGTGCCTTAATTTTCCTCAATAGTATCTGATGTGGGACCCTATCAAAAGCCTTACTGAAGTCCATATACACAATATTATATTCATTACCATGATCTACCTCCTCAAATACCTTAGTAAAAAAAAGTTAATAAATTCGTAAGGCAGGAACGCCCCTTTGTAAAACCATGCTGAGATTCGTTGATTAATTTGTGCTTTTCAAGGCGGCTACGAACTACCTCGGCAATTATTGATTCCATAAATTTTCCCACTATGGAGGTTAGGCTTATCGGTCTATAGTTCGAAGCTAAGAACCTGTCACCTGCTTTGAAAACAGGTATCACATTTGCCATTTTCCACTTATCTGGCACAATGCCAATCTGTAGTGATATGTTGAAAAGATTAGCCAGAGGTTTGCTAAGCTCTTCTTTACATTCCTTTAGAACCCTTGCATACAGTTCATCAGGGCCTGGGGATTTGTTAGGTTTTAATTTATCAATTTGCCTAAGAACCATGTCACTTGTGACCCTAATCGTGCATAGTTTATTATCATCCTGTTCTACATAATTTATTATTTCTGGAATATCGCTAGTATCTTCCTGAGTAAAAACTGAGAAAAAGTATGTGTTAAAAGGTCTACACATTTCCTTATCACTGTCTGTGAGCTGACCCGAGGAACTTTTGAGTGGGCCTATCTTGTCCCTGACCTTACTTCTGTATACCTGAAAGAATCCTTTTGGGTTACTCTTTGATTCTCTTGCAACTTTAACCTCAGAATCTCTTTTTGCTTTTCTTATTCCCTTTTTTATTTCTCTCTTTAACCGAATGTATTGATTTCTCAATTGCACCTCTGCTCTTTTGATTTGCCTATATATGCCTCTCTTTTGACCAATGAGATGTTTTAATCTATTGTTAATCCATTTAGGATCATTTTTGCTTGATCTGATTTCCTTATTTGGAACATAAGTTGTCTGAGCAGCTAGAACTATGCCCTGGAAAACGTCATATCGGCAATCATCACCACCTATCTGACCTATAGTCAGGTCATTCCAGTTCAGCCCACCCAAGTAATTTTTCAGTCCTATGAAATCAGCCAAGCAGAAGTCAGGGACAGAGATTTGATTGCCATTATTAGGGGAATTCCATGATATATTAAAACTGAGTGATTTGTGATCACTTTCCCCAAGCTCATCATTAACCTCAAGATTATTAATTAGTGTTTCCCTGCTGGCAAGAACCAAGTCAAGCAGGTTATTTCCTCTAGTTGGCTCTGTCACAAACTGCTTTAAAAAACGATCCTGAATCGTATCAAGAAAGCCACTTGATTCTAAATTTCCTGTCAAATTGCTCCAGTCAATCTGTCTATAGTTGAAATCTCCCATTATCAAAACATTTTCGTATGTAGAGGCCTTACGAATTTCATCCCATAGAAGTTTACCGTACTCCCTATCAAGATTTGGGGCCCTGTAAATCACACCCAAAATTAGTTTTTCACGGCCCTCGAGAAGCTGTAACCAAACAGATTCGGTGGCTGATGCTTCTAATTTTATATCTTGTCTAACACAACACTTTAAATTGTCTCTGACGTACATCGCTACTCCACCACCCTTCCTGTTGACCCTGTCAGTGTGGAATAATTTATAGCCTTGTATGTGACATTCAGAAGGCATCTATCTTTCAGATTGAGCCAGGTCTCTGTTATAGCAATGATATCTATGTTTCCTGCACTTGCAATTAATCTTAACTCATCTATCTTATTTCTTACACTCCTGCTATTAGTATAATAGACCTTAAGGGAGCTAGTCCCTTGCTGCCCTCTGCTGTCTCCCTTTGTTTGCTGACATGATCTATTGTCTTTATTTATAACTTCATGATTAATGTCTTTTATACATTTTCTGTTTTCAACCCTAGTGTTGCAACCTGACTGTTTCCCACACACACCCATACCTCTATCTTCTATCAGTTTAAAATCCTAGGCATTTCAGCAATGGCCCTCTCGATTGAGTTTGCAAGAGCTACCACCTCTGCCCCAGAAAGATGTACCCCATCCCTTGCATACATATCATGTTTGCCATAAAAGTTGTTCCAGTTGTCAGTGAATGGGATTGTAAGTTCCTTGCAGTATCTGTCTAGCCAGCAATTTACACCAATTGCCCTAGACAACCATTCATTGCCCACTCCCCTTCTAGGCAAGATGCTACATATAATTGGGACCCCTCCCTTGGACTTAATTAAATCTATAGCTGACCTGAGTAAATATAAAGGGCTTGTTTGGTAGCTGTAGAGCGGGTAGTTAAATGATATACTTCTTCGGAGGCTTCTTAGTTTATTGTTAAGTAGTGGTGGGTTACACAGGCTTGTGTGTTTGTGCCCATGGCCCGGGCAGGGCCATGCCCACGAGAGAGAGATGAGAGTACTTGTGTGTTGAAGCCAGGCCGCTGTGTGAGTGAGGGCGAGGCAAGTCTGGGCATACTGAAGTGGGAAGGCCTATAGATGGCAGCACCTGAGTGGCGCGAAATATGAACTAAGCTGGCAGACAGCATGGACTATCTGTGCAGACAGTACAGGCTGTCTACATACTTATCTAGCAGCTCTTCTCTCCTACCCTTCCCAATATCATTTCTACCAGCACTGAGACAGATAATAGGCTTGTTCCCATTACCTGACATGATATTATCCAACCTGTCGACTATGTCACTAACACCAGCTCCTGGGAAGCACACTCTATCTCTTACCTTCTTATTCCTATTACAGAAGGCACGGTCCATATATCTTACCTGTGAGTCACCAACCACAAGTATGCGCTTACCTCCATTTGCAGGGGAAGTAGTACCTTTACCTTCACTGGCCAAGTGGCAGTGGACACTTTATTAGACACATCGATGCATCCGCACAGTGCAAATATCTAATTACCCATTGGCGGTGCAGCACTTCAATGCCTTAAAGCGTGCAGACATGGTCAGGAGATTCAGATGTTCAGATCAAACATCAGAATGGGGAAGAAAAGTGATGTAAGTGACTTTGACCGTGGAATGATTGTTGGTGCCAGACAAATGGGGTGGTTTGAGTATTTCAGAAACTGCTGATCTGGGATTTTCACGCACAACAGTCTCTAGAGTTTACAGAGAATGGTGGGAAAAACACAAAACATCCATTGAACGGCAGTTCTGTGGGAGAAACCACCTTGTTAATAATAATAATAATGAGAGGTCAGAATAGAATGACCAGACTGATGCAACTGACAGTAACTCAAATAACCACACGTTACATCAGTGGTATGTAGAAGAGCATCTTTGAACACACAACACGTCAAACCTTGAAGTGGATGGGCTACAGGAGCAAAAGACCACATTGGGTTTCATCCCAGTCAGCTAAGAACAGGAAACAGACAACGGTGAGCACAGGCTCACCAAAACTGGACATCTTAAGGTTTGAAAAATGTTACCTATTGTGAGGAATTGCGACATGAAACTAGTAGGGTCAGAATTTGGCGTAAATCTCTGGGACGTGGTGGTATGGAAGATTAGTAGCATGAACGTGCAACCGACAAATCTGCAGCAACTGCGTGATGCTGTCATGTTAACATGGACCAGATTCTGCAAAGAGTGTTTCCAGCACCTTGTCGAATCCATGACACGACGAATTCAGGCTGTTCTGGGAGCAACGGATGGCTCTACACAGTACTAGAAGGTTGTTCCTTATATACTGGGCACTGAGTGCATAATATACAAATCATAATACTCATAAGTATTTTTGTCTATTTTTGTGTGGTATAAATACTTTCGTTTGCACAAACATTATTTGAACTGTAAATTGACCAAAGAAAAAATATTTGATTGGTCTTAGAGTGAAGGATATTTCAATTAGTTTCTTATTCCTATATTTTTTATAATTTAATGAAGTTTGAACATATTGAATATCAATATTTGCTCTCTTATGCGTACAGTGTGCTTGGGAGACAATGACCACTCGAGGACCACGTTATCTTTCCCGTAAGCGCCATACAGTGCATGGGGAATGGATGGTAATCTGATGCAAGTTAGGAGTTGGTAGTTCTAATTACTTTTGGCTCAAGAGCACTGCTTCATCATCAAAGCACCCAGAAAATACAAAATTAAGAAGGTACACTACCCTGTAACTTGTTTCTTTATCCGCAGACTTTAGCGACGGGATGTCCAGTGGGTCATCCGCTCATGAGAGTGATACTCGCCCTGGCCTTCATCTTCCTCATCCTCTTCCTTGACTTCTACATTAAAGCCTACAGACATAAGGTGAGCTTTTGTGTGACAAAGACACATGTACATACAACTTTTGGGTATCTTTATTTTGGAAACGTTTCGCCAACCAGAGAATGACTCATTACCTTTGTAACTTGACATGATTGTGATCAGATCTACCTGAAGTTCATTACCATTGTAACTAGTTTTGCTGTCATAACTTTTGGGCCCAGCTCCTGGACCCATTATGTACCTCTGTAATCTTTTAACTACCACCCACAGGATGGGTATGGGGTGCATAATAAACATATTAAACTAAATTAAGCCAACATGTTTCCACCATAAAGATACCTAGTTGTCCAAATGTTCTATGCATTTACTTCTCGGTTTTATATACCATTAATGTAAATAATTCATGGGAATGGGAAGTAAATAATATTGATTCAAGGAAGGGAAGGTCAACTACAACTCCTTTGTATGACTCTTCACCAGCATCAAGGAACCCCATTCAAGGACTGCTCTTCCATAATGCAATGCTATATTAAAATTATGGTGCAAGAGTTATGGTGATACCGACAAATTTAAGGAAAAGGACAAGTATGTACTGTTAAAGACATTTAAGGTAGGCCTGGTAGTATGTACTGTTCAAAACATTTAAGGTAGATCTGGTTAGTATGTACTGTTCAAGACATTTGAGGTAGGCCTGGCAGTATGTATTATTCAAGACACTTGAGGTAGGCCTGGTAGTATGTACTGTTCAAGACGCTGAGGTAGGCCTGGTAGTATGTACTGTTCAAGACGCTGAGGTAGGCCTGGTAGTATGTACTGTTCAAGATGCTGAGGTAGGCCAGGACGCAATACTGATAATCGCTATGAGAACTGCATACAGTTCAGCTGTGAAGATGTTAGCCGAGTTTAATAAATGACCTCGTACAACACTGTCCTGGAACACTGCTGCAAACCCGACACCGTCAGTGGATTTTGAACCATCAATGTAAATTGCAGATACCTTTGAGGAGGACTTGTCAACAGGAGTAATATATGCGAGGTAAAATATTGGATTAAAACTGGTGGTGTCTTCCAGCAGCGGCGTTAACGTTGTGTAGCAATCGTTTGGTCAATGATCTGGATATTCTATAGCAACCTAACTTCTGTGGCCTGGTGATGGTTATCATCTGATGATACGCCTGCGTAGTTATTAACACAATTTTAGGATTTTGTATATACCAACCTTGTGGGGCTTTTTCCCCCACCGGGGTCATACGGGGGGGTTTTAAAATCAAAACCATAATTTTTAAAAAGGGAGGCCCGGGTAAGTCGGGGAATTCCCGTCAATCCAAGAGTGTCCAGTGGCGGGTCATTATGACAAAGACCCGAGTCAGGACCACTTGCCCTTTTCCTAAAAAACCTGACCAAACCCAAACCCTTAACCACCTGACCCGCCACATATATACTCATTTCTTAATTGCCTCTTAAAATGTCTTGATTATTGCATATATACCTTTTACAAAACATTTTTTGCAGCAATTTTGGGGTTCATGTCTATCTCTCATTTCCGAGTGGGGGGGAAGTGTTTGCCTTACCCCCCCCTTCCCGGCTGGGGGGAACGCAGTCGTTTTAACCAGTGAGTTAATTGGGCTCACATCTTTTTTTTTCCCACAGGTTCGGGCAGCATACCGCACCCCCAAGCTCTCGATTTACGAGAAAAAAAACCATTTCACCCCCAATGATGAACTCGGTGGGAAACCCAAAAATACGATTTCAATTATTCCTTCGGTCCCAGAAATCATAGCTGAGATGATGACCACATGAAACAAATCCCTTATATTGACTAGGTTTTTTTATACTTTTGGGATTTTTCCTTTTAAATCCACATGCGGAGAGGATTCTAGGTTATTATTATTATAAAAAAAAGAACGCAAAGCCACAAGGGATCAGCGCTGCGGGGAGGGAAGGAAGAAAGGGGAAGGGATGGCAAAAGGGGAGGGGGATGATCACATTAAGAAAAACGGGGCAGGGTAGTAGGGGGGGAAAGGGGGGTTGCAAGAGATACAAGAGAAAGGCTGAACGTATCAAAATTTGTGGAGAAAAGTCAGTCGTTGCAAAAAGCAAGAGGAGTCCGGATGAAAGGGGGTCCACAGCGAAAAGGGGAAGGTAAAGAAGAGCAGCGGGGCGAAGACACGCAGAGAAAATTCTGCGTGCTCGTTGATAAAGTGGGCAGTCCAACAGAAGTGGCTGAGATAATGGACTTGGCTTTTCTCACGAGAGGACAAACCCCTTCCATGAATACCATGAGAAGACGGTATGGCCAATGCAAGACGGGAGAGAGTGTTCCAACCCGACAAAATGGTGATAAGAAACGGCCAGTAACCATAAATCGGTTTAATAGACGAAGTTTGTTGCCCACATAGTAGACCAACGTTGTTTCCAAAGGGGGTTGAAGGTGGGAAGTATTTCGCAAAATAGTCCTACATGGAAAACCTCTATAAGAAACTGGTGGGGCATGTAGCTGACCGCGCAGCATGTCTCCCTTTTATTGCCCTGTACGTCAACATGACCAGGGACCCCAACAAAAAAAATATCTTTATGTTTGTAAAGATGCGGGGTAGCCAAAGTTGGATACGGAGGACATTCTAGGGGTAGAGGGAAAAGTTTCGCCACGCAATTCCTTCTCATCCTAACAAAAAAGAATGGTGAAAACTGGACTTACCCGGGGAAAAGTTTCCCCGGGGCAACGCCCCCGTGGCTCGTCTGTGACCAGGCCTCAGGGGGATCGAGCCTGTCAACCAGGCTGTTACTGCGGCTGCACGCAATCGAACGTAGAGCCCCAGCCCGGCTTAGGTTCCGACTTTGGTGCTTGTCAGAACGGTTGAGATAATCGAAACACTGACTCCCGCTGAGGAATGATAACCCCACTCTTTCTGTCTTCACCATTCTTCTTTGTACGGGTGAAGAAGCCACTTTGGCGAAAAGTTTCCTAGAAAGATATCCAAGTTTGCCATGTCTAATTTTTTTCGGGTTCAATAACGTTTCACTCCGTCCCAACCCCTATCGTCAGACACGGTTAAGGGCGGACCGCAACGTCTAGGTTTTCCCCTCCAATGGGGATTAATAGTGAATTAGCTAAAAGTAGTACAAAATAACTTGCCAAAAATACATTAAGTAGATAATTTTGAAAAAAATGGAGACCAGGGACTTACATTTAAAACAAAAATTTTCTGGTCTAGTGAAACTAAGATTATGTTGCGTTGATTTTCCGTTTGTTTCATAAGCAAATACGGGTTAGACCCCTTATGTTAAATACTTTTACTGTGAAAAGGATATACAAAGAAAATTTGTTGTTGTTAATTCTTGTTAAAAAAAAAGTTAACAAAAGACTTTTTTTTCGGGTTCACGTTTGGAAGTAACATGTAAGGCTTTCAGCCATTTCAGCGACCACACAAAACTAAATCAAAAACCGGGCCCTTTAACCCCCCCCGGGGGAAATAAATATAATGAGGGATTTACGAGATAAGGAAATTTTTAACAATATTTACAAAAATTTTCAAATTAAAATGTGTGTTTAGGTCAGATTTAGTGCAAAGAAATAGACAAGTAATTTGCATTGTAATATTTTAGTTTTTACCTGGGAGAGGCGCCGAATCTTTAAAGAACCTATCTACCTACGTACTTGTATAATAATCATAATCATAATTTTTAAAGAGGTGGAGCGGTAAGCCAGTGGAAGGCCTCGGTCAGATGACCAGAAGCTCCAGCTGTGGGTCATCATATGACTAAGACCAACGTCAGGAAACACTTGTTCTATTTCCTGACAAATCCAATAGCTGCCTACCTACCTACGTCCTTGACCAACATTGTGTAACAGTTATGTCTGCTTATTGTTTGTAAGTTACCTTGCATGACAAATTGTTATTGATTTTAAAACAGTATTACGTTTTCTATATAAAGTTTCTATATAAAGTTAAATATTTCATATAAAGCAATCTGTTGTAACATAGGTATTTTAAATATTAAGATATTTGATAATAAAGTCAGAAAACAATAGTCTGAAATAGTTTTAATATAACTCCTAACTTTGACGTGATAAGCCAGTTTCAGCCAAGCAGTTTATTTATTTATTTATTTTATAGCCCTTGTGGCTTAGCGCTTTTTTTTTATTATTATAATAATATTTATTTGTCTTTGCAAATAGTACACTGAGATTTTATATTTGCAATAGTGGGTTGCAATGCAAAGAGAGCCTCTATTATGCCTGGCATTATGGGCCAATTTAACATTGGCTTACATTCTACTTAACACTATTTTATCATAGTTGTACAGTAGATTATTAATTATAAATGAATTAAAATTTGTGTAAGACAAAAGATATATTCATATATTCAAAAATGCTTTTTGTGAAAACAATGATTCAATTATATTCCTGCCAACAATGGGTAAAAGGTTCAAAGTGATTGTTGAAGTTATGTTGTGGGAGAACATAAGTGAGTGTGTGTGTACGGAGTATTTAGCGTTTAGTCTAGGGTGATCAAGTGGCTTTTGAGAAGTCTTAATTTGATTTTCAGACCGGGTTACTTTAATATCTTCTGGAAATGAATTCCATATTTTGGGGCCCTTTATGTGCATAGTTTTTACACAGTGTGTTATGGACACGAAGTATATCAACAAGAGATCTGTCTTGTGTTGTGGTCATGTGTCCTGTTTAGGTTGGTGAGAAGTTTGAGTGGAGGGTTTATATTTGCGTGTATTGTTCTGTGTATGTAGTAGGCACATGAATAAGTATGGATGTTCTTAATGGTGAGCAGATTGACTTCTGAAAATTGGTGGAATATGCTGTCGGTAGTGGGAATTTATCATTCTGACTGCTGCCTTTTGCTGGGTTAAATTTTAA